AGTATGTGCCCTAACTAGAATCCAACAGGAAATCCTTGGTGTACAGGTTGAGACTCCACCCATTGAGCCACCTGGCCAGGGCAGATCTGAAAATTTTTTTTTTAAATGTACCTCCAGGCCCTGGTTGGTGTGGGTCAGTAGTTAGAGTGTCCTCCCACGCACCAAAGGGTCATGGGTTCAATTCCAGGTGAGGGCACATACACAGGTTGTGGGTTCCATCCCTGTCGGATTGCTTGAGCAAGTGATCAGTGTTTCTCTTTCTCTTTCCCTCTCCCTTCCTGTCTCTCTAGAATCAATGAAAAAAACATATCCTTAGAGGAGGACTTAAAAAGAAAAAAAATGCTGGTTTGGTTCAGTGGATAGTGCTTCTGCAGGCAGACCGAAGGGTGCTGTTTTAGCAACTCTGCAAGCCAGAGGGTTTATTTTTTCTTTTAATTTTCATTGATTATTTTAGAGAGAGGAAGGGAGCGAGAGAAACACCAGTGTGTTGTTCCACTTATTATGCCCTCTTTGGTTGCTTCTTGTCTGTGCCCTGACTAGGGATCCAACCCGCAACCTGGCTGAATCAGGAGGAGGTCCTAACCCACTATGCTGCGCGCTGCCTGTCAGGGCCCCTCAGCAAAACCCCTCTGGCTGCCCTGGCCCCTGCTGTGGGCTGGAGCTCCTCTGCCACAGCAAAAGTTTGGGTTCCATTCTGTCAGGGCACCTACTTAGGTTTTGGGTTTGATACCTGGTCGGGGCTGACTGCTGCTCAGGAAGTGACTGAGGACCATGTGCTGTAGGTCATTCTGCGGGGAGCTGGGGTGTCATTGCCGACATGGCCGACTCCGATCCCCACTACCCCCGCTCCTCCATCGAGGACGACTTCAACTATGTCAGCTGCGTGGCCTCTGCCAACATACACCTCTGCAGGGGTAGGTCGCCCTCCCGCGGCTCGCCAGGCCTGGCTGCTGTGCAGTCGCCCGGGGAAGTGGATTTCTGGGCTCCCAGGGAGAGCGCCCTCCACGCCGAACTCCCAGGGAGAGCGGGGCCCGGAGGGAAAGCACTTCGCTCTGCCTCCCCACGGGGCTCCTGGGCTGGAGTGGAGCGCCCGTCCTGCTCAGGGCTCGGAGGGAAGAGCCCCCCCAGGGAGGCCTCCTGGCTGGGTGCTGAGAAAACGCAACTGGAGCCCTTCCTCCTTGAACCCTGCCGCCTTCGGTGTAGAAAGGGACAGATGAAAGCCTCAGCAGCCGTGCTGGGGCATCTGTAAGTGAAGATGTTATTTTTCGGTGAAAAGAAGTTTATTGTGTAATCGATATTGTGTAATCACTGTGATTACACAATAACCTGCATTGAGTTATCTGCTGGGATGTTTGTGCTTCAGGGCATGCGAACGCATTTTATTTTATTTGACACGTCCCGGCCTCCTGCCGCCCGCAACCACACCCACCGATCCAGCAGGTCGTTACTGTGAGGGCGTCCGGGCAAATTTGCACATTCCTCCATTTTATATATATTGATGAGGTTATTTGCTTAATGTCTGCTTCCCCCACTCAAATGTGTGGGTAGGAACGTGGTCTCATTCATCACTGACCGTATCCTCTGAGCAAGGCCTGACAAACAGTGGTCACTCAGTAAATACAGTGAACGAATGAATGGTAAAAAGGGAGAGGAATGCCAAAACCGGTTTGGCTCAGTGGATAGAGCGTCGGCCTGTGGACTGAAAGGTCCCAGGTTCGATTCCGGTCAAGGGCATGTACCTGGGTTGCGGGCACATCCCCAATAGGAGATGTGCAGGAGGCAGCTGATTGATGTTTCTCTCTCATCGATGTTTCTAACTATCTCTCTCCCTTCCTCTCTGTAAAAAAATCAATAAAATATATTTAAAAAAAAAAAAGGGAGAGGAATGAAATTTAAAGCAACTGCTGCAGGCTCAGTAGCTGACCTGCCAGGTTTTGCTCCATCACAGGCAGAGATGACCGCCCCCCCCCCCCCCCCCCCCCGCTTTACTGCGAGCACAATGGGTCCAGAGAGGGGCAACCTGGGAGTGGGGCGCACAGTCAGCTCAGGGCTCCATGCCGCAGGGTCGTGGCTCAGCAGAGGTAGAGAGGACAGAGGAGCAGGCCCATGGACTGGACAAGGCCACAGGGACTCTCCAAGGGAAACTGCCCTTGAACCCGGCCCATAGGAAGTTGGGAAGGGGA